ATTCTTTATCACATTTGTATGAATTCAGTTTATATAAATTAAATAACTTATTATTGCACGAAAAAAAATAACTTTTTTTTAAATAACAAGAAATTTTTTTTTAGAAATTTTATCAAATTTAAGAAAATTAATCAAAACAAAAATATCAATATTATTACTTTTAAAATTTTTTTTTTGTGTTACAAGAAATTAAATTTCACGTTAAATCATTATAACCGTAACAAATCATTCGATAATTTTCAGCAAGATTAATATCATATTAACATAATTTTAATTGTAATGTATTTTGAAATAATAAAATTAAATAGAATTGACCAAAAATTGAAATAAATTAAAATAAATCGCAATAAATCAAATAAATAATAAACAACAATAATTAATTAATTTTAATACCTTGAAGGAAAAGAATAAGTTCCAAAATCATCTTTCAATTTACAAAATACGCTTGTTCTAAATCTGGTTTATAATTTTTGCAAAAGAATTTTCCTTTCCTATGATAAATAATAATAATAATAATAATAATAATAATAAAAAGGATATTTAATAATAAAATTATTCACACCGTTATTCATCGTTTTCAATTTATTTACCAAATTTTGAAAAGGTTTGATGTAAAAATGACGATTCTTTACGCTTTTTAATCAATTCTACATAACTAATAATAATAACAAAGATATTTATTCAAATATGTATATTACAACTTTTAATTATAATAATTAACAACTCGCAAATTCCAATTCCAATAATTCTGATGATGATATCGATTCTTTAATTCAGTATTTTCCAGAATAAAAGATACATGCCTCTCAATCTAAATTATTTAATGTAATATATATAAAATAATATATTCAAGTTTAATTTAAAAAAAATAAAATTTAAATTAAATAAAATAATCCGAAAAGTAAAATAAGGGAAGTAAAATACCTTAAATAATATATCGATTGATAATAAGTTCGTTATCATTAAATAATAACGTAGCAATAGAACATGCATTCATTGACGATAGTATCTTTGATAGCCTGTGTTGAATATATTGTGAATATAATATAATATTTATGTGGATATGGATATTGTGTGTCGTGAGTTTACGATATGAGTTGCGCGCGAGAGATAATAATTTTACGCAAAATTATTGAAAAAATAAATCAATTAATTAGTCAGTTTGGAAATAATTTAAGAAAATTATTATCGAAGTTAAAATATACATAAAAACATTTATAATAACATGCATAAATAATATTATAACAACTTGATCTTCAATCAAAGAATTTAATTTCTCGAGAAAAGGTTCATAAAGTCAAATTTTCTGGAGAATAATTTTCATTTAATCAAGCTCTTTTTGATTTTCCATATCGGTCTTTATTACTGAAAAAAAAAATCCGTAAATTTATTTTTCAATATTATTATTATCGATATTTCTATTAAGCCTATATCTAAATCAAAAAATTCTTTGGCATCATCCTCTAATCCTGTTGTGGTATTTCCATGTTGAAAAAAAAATACGCAAGACATTTTTAAAAATAAGAATACTGACAAGTTGTTGAAAGAACTGACACACGTCACACGAAATGTTAAATAAGCATTTATCATAAATGATTTGCCGAAGTCTTTACGTACACCATTATTCTGATAAATTTGTATAAATTAAGTAAAGAGACGTAAATTCAGTTACAAATTTATTTTTAAAGAAATTTCCATCTTACATACTATCGGTGAATAAAAAATGTCATCGGATAAAATATGCCCAGAATGCAATCAAAAATATGCCGACCAATATTCCTCATGGTGCTGATGCAAACCGTGCTATTCGAAACATTTCAAAGATCATTTTGATAAATGGGCAAGTAAAAATGAAACAATGCACAATTAAATGCAGTTAGTCATTGGGAAGTAATAGAATGGATACCTTATGATAGATTAAAATATGTATATTAAACAAATAGCAAGAGGGGATTCGGAACAATACATTTAGCCGAATGGTTTGATGGACAAATTGAACAATTGAATATTGAAAATCAACAATGGAAAAGATACGGTCGTCGACGAGTGGTATTGAAAAAGATAGATTATTTTGCAGATTTAAATGAAGAATT